GGAGGGGCAGAGAGAGAGGGAGACACAGAATCGGAAACAGGCTCCAGGCTCTGAGCCATCAGCCCAGAGCCTGACGCGGGGCTCGAACTCCCGGACCGCGAGATCGTGACCTGGCTGAAGTCGGACGCTTAACCGACTGCGCCACCCAGGCGCCCCCCAACTGAAATTTAAAGAGAGCACCGTCCATGTATTTTGTTCTTATTTATGATTAATTCATCCATATAGTATTTTGTAAACATCAGCATGTCCAGAAACTCACAGGACTCTTCATTTATAAATATAGAAGAAACCTTCCTTGGTCACAAATAAATTAAGTTGTCCTTAGGAAGGTGAACTTTGACTCCAAATTATAAAATAATAATGATAGCAGATTCTAAATATGAAAGGCCTTGATTATAATACTTCAAGTACAACAGATATTAATGTAAGGCTCTAGGCTTTGGTTAATTTGGTTAATTTAATATATTTAATCTATATATACAGTATAATATAGGTTAACACCAATCATCCAAAAGCTATGATTATTTTTGAGATAGACCAAACCTAGCATGGGATTTTTGGATAGTTTTCTTTAATACTTTGGATTTATATAGAGGAGATTTTCTTTAAAATTCACTAAGGATTGAGGTGCCTGGTAGCTCAGTTGGTTAAGCGGCAAACTCTTGGTTTTGTCTCAGGTAATGATCTTGGCAGTTCTTGGGCCCGGAGCCTGCTTGGGATTCTCTCTCTCTCTCTCTCTCTCTCTCTCTCTCTCCCCCCCCCACTTTGCCCCTCCCCTGCTCACACTGTCTCTTCTCTCTCAGAATAAATAAATAAACTTAAAAAAAACTCACTAAGGATGTGTATCTGTCAGTATCTAATAAAAAAAATAGAAGCCATGTAAATATTTCACTGGAGAGATTTACTATAGGACTCAGGTACTTAGATCTTGAACAGCAGCAAAAGGAGAAAGGGACCATGGATGTAGCAGAGAGATAATGAGTGTGGGAAGCAGCTATTGACCCTAGGGCGTGGGGGGTGCTCGGGAGCAGATGGGGTTTTCAGAACCTTGAGAAGGGATGATGTGGAAGAAGGGTCATTATATCAAGGAGTTTCTCTTTTAAACAGGAAGTGTTGCCCAACTCCCCAACTCCAGAGCTTGTAGGAGGGGCCTACAGAGCTAGGACACAGCCACTGGAGAAGGGGAGGACCTGTGTGGAGCCCGTACCTCTGAGGATGGGCTCTACAGCTGGTTCTCAAGCAGGTTGCTGGAATGAAGGGCCACTGTGCAGGCAACTCAGGCAGTTCTAGCAAATAAAACAGGGATGAAGTCCCTTCCCCCAGCCGCTTGTCTTCACACCCTCCCTAGTGCCCCTTATTAGCAAAGCTTAATCGATGAGGAATAATTTATGGAGTCCCAGAAGCAGTGTCACAAAGCAGAGAGAGTGACAGCTGATAACAGCAGAATAACTGAATTGGGACTGGTATCACAAACACCTTAGCTGTAGATCTGTTTTATAGTGAGAATAACCGTGCTACATGAATGTCTTTGTAGGTTTCCTTTTTAAAAATATATGTTTTCTTAGATTGACACAAAATTTTATGTCTTAGGGACATGTGCTAAATCCCAAATCCAGGTAGCTGCCTTTTGTTACCTTGCTGCACCCTGCAACAGACCCTTCACTTCCAAGACGTACATCCTTATGGACACGCAATGCTCAGTTTGACCATGGAAATAAAAGCACAGTGTTGCCCTAAACTCATTGTCTGTATGATCTAAATGTATTTTAAACACTGGCTAGCTGAAACATAAGTTCAGAAATGGGAAGTATGGGCTTCCCAATAAGCGCTGGTCCTTGACGATTTTCAGAACTTTCAAAGACCAGTTTCGTGCCAAGGTGGTGGCATCCAGCCAAGGAGCAAGCAGGGTTCATCACCTGGATGCCCCATGGAGTTTGTAGGGAAGCAGTCTCATCTTTCATCACCTTCTCCTTCCTTGGGCTCCAGGTACTTTGAAAATTACTTCATTTGTTATTAAAGGAATTCCTTACTACTTTTCCCCTATGTGTTTGCATGATATTTTATACATACCTAATCTGCTTTACTTATTTAGTCATCTAAAATAAATTTGGCTTTTTGAAAGGCCCCTAAAGATAATTAAATAAAATTATTAAGTTCTGATTTTGTAAATTTACGTTCTTTAGATAGTGCAGATTTTCAGATATAAGAGCAAAATGGTAAGTTAAAAATGGAAATACACTGAGAATAGGTCAAAAACTGTAGGTAAACAGTAAAGGCAGTTGGCTAGGACTCAAGAAGAGGTGTTTAAAAATAATAAAGGGGGGGGGGGATGAGCCAAACTGGTGAAGGGCAGTGGGAGATAGAAGCATCCAGTTATAAAATGAGTAAGTCACAGGGATGAGAGGCACAGCATAGGGAATATAGTCAACGGTATTGTGATAGTGTTTATTGTGATAGATGATGGCTACACTCATAGCATAACATATAGAGTTGTCGAATCGTTATGTTGTACACCTGAGACTAATGTAATGTGTGTCTACTCTACTTCAATTAAAAATAATAATACTACTCTTAAACAGAGATCTAAATTCTGCCACTTTCTGGCCAAAGCCCTGGGTCAAGATTCTCGACCTAACTAAGCCTCAGTTTCTCATTAAGAATACTGTTAGTATCTATTGCAGAGAAGTATGGCGAAGACCGAATGAGACTGTATATGAAAAAACTTAGCCTAGTACCTGGTATACTATGAATAATCCTATACTCTTATAAGCATCATTCTTTGATTAAATGTGATGAAATGGCTCTTACTTCCTCCTCACTCTATGTAAAATGTATAAGAACTTAAATTCAGTTTTCTTTCAACTATAAGCTCTCAAAATAGTTGCTTTTGTTCTTTGCAACTTTGACTTTTTATTTGAGGTGCTTTTTGAGCGGGGCGCCTGGGTGGCTCAGTCGGTTGAGCATCCGACTTCAGCTCAGTTCCTGATCTCACAGTTTGTGAGTTGGAGCCCCGCATGGAGCTCTGTGCTGACAGCTCAGAGCCTGGAACCTCCTTCGGGTTCTGTGTCTCCCTCTCTGTCTGTCCCTTCCCTGCTCATGCTCTGACTCTCTCTGTCTCTCAAAAAAAATGAATAAATGTTAAAAAAAAACTTTAAGTGCTTTTTGAGTTATTTTAAAGGTATTTTAGAAAATATTACTATCTCTAGATTTTTTTTTTCCTCCATAAGAGAAATTTAGGACAGCAGATTGATGCTGGGGAGAAGGAAATCTGAAGGCCTATGGGCTAAGACCCCAAGAGCCCCGTGACTTAACAAAGGCAATCTGCATTACACAATATCGTACATCCCCTAATCTCAGAGCAATGAGCTAGTGCATAAGAGCAAGGCAATCTGGGGTGCTTGGGTGGCTCAGTCGGTTAAGCGTCTGACTTCAGCTCAGTTCATGATCTCACAGTTTGTGAGTCTGAGCCCCGCATCGGGCTCTGTGCTGACAGCTCAGAGCCTGGAGGCTGCTTCGGATTCTGTGTCTCATTCTCTCTCTGCCCCTCCCCCACGTGTGCTCTGTCTCCTTGTGTCTCTCAAAAATAAAGATGTAAAAAAAATTTTTTTTAAAAGAGCAAAGACAGTTTACTTTAGGGAGCCTTGTTCAATTTAGTCTAACCTACCTCCCCCCTTATTTGTTCATGATCTGGTGACTGAGTTATTCTGAGCACTATAGAAACAGGTGAAAATGAACCATGACCATTAATATTATTTTGTTTCTTTTCTCCTTTTTGTTTTTTTTTTGGAAACCTGAAGGATCCTTTTTGTAATGGAAGATTTAAAAGTTGAGATGTAACTTAAAAGTCAATGAATTTGGAATTTTGCCATGATCTTTGTTTCAGTCATATTTGTTCTGGGTCTAACCATTTAGAGGCTAATGGAGAAGAGGCTGATCCTTCTCCCCTGGGCCTGTCGAACTAGGCATACCCCATTACCTGCCTCCCCAGCATTTTTTAAGCCCTTGTTTTAAATTACACTCAAATGTCTCCTCCTACCATGACTCCTTGCTGTAACCCAGATGCTTTTCCCCATGTGTAGACCTCTGTCTCACTTGCATTGGGGTTACTTCTTTCATGTCTGCTTCCCTGTTGGACCATAAGCAGCTTGAAGACAGTTTCAAGTAGGCTTTAGTGTATTTAGTACTTCAGAACCTAGCTGTGCCTACCACATAGTGGGTGCTTAGTAAAGGATATATTCATAAGCAGATGAACATGGTTCAAATGGCTGAGCGTGGAGTAAAGTCTAGAAGGAATTGGGAAATGGGAAAAATAAGAAACATTGGAGTTGAAAAGACTATTACGTAGCTGGATTAAAAAAAAGATCCATAAAACTATGTTGGGTGTAAACGGAGATAGGCATTAGAGGATTTGTGAAGATAAGTTAATAGGATCTAGGTTTTTACTTATAAACATATTTTTTTCTGGCCCTAACCATATTCAGTGGTCAAATATAGGTCAAGGTAATTACAGAATTTTTTTAGTAGGTCACCAAGGAATCGGAAGGTTGTTCAGAGCAGCAGTTTCAAGTTTGACCACACTTTGCTGATTAAAATCTTGTAAGAGATAACAACACAGTACATAAAAGCATGAAGAAAAAATTTTAAAATACATGTTAATACTACATGCAACTTAAGAAGTACTTACAGAATCTGAACAATAAGTGTCACAAGTATCATAAAAGAATATGCATTGAGCACTGGGTGTCATACGTAAGAGATGAATCACTGGGTTCTACTCCTACAGCCAAGACTACGCTGTATGTTAACGAACTTGAGAATAAAAAAAAAATAAGTATCCAAGTTTTGTGTCTAGAAAAAACAGCTTGGAAAAATATATAGTAAATTTTTTTTGGTAAAATTTCAAATTTCTTGCCTAGACATACAAGATCCTTTACAATGTGCCTACTCCACTCCCATCCCTACCCATCTCTCCAACATCATTTCTTTCTACTCTCTTCCAGACCTCACTGAGGGTGTCACCATTCCCTACCAGCCTTTTACATACATGTCCTTCTATACCTGCCATCCTTCAGCCTCTGCTCAAATGTCAGCCCTTCTGCAGAGCCTTCTCTGGTGAGTTAAATTCCAGTGTCTGTGCTCTTGTGGTTAACCGTGTTCGATTTACCCCTCCGTCTCTGCCATACAAGAGAGCGTGTCCTGGAGATTAGAGGCCATGTTACAGTTGTGTGAATATTTTCACCACCTAGGATCATGGCTACTATAGAATATGTTTTCAGTGAATAGATTAATGCTAAGTGAGATTTCAGGAACTTAACGGAATAAAAAATGAATTGAGGAAATGTCGCTTTTAAAGATTGGATGTGAATATGTTACATTTGTCGTGGGAAGGAATAACCTAGGAAGAAGAAATAAGAAGAAAATAGGCCCAGCAAACAGCTGAAGCCTCAGAATCAGAGGGCAGGCCTGGGCTGCAATATAATTTTGCCACGATATAAATCTCATGCGGTGATAAACCCAAGAAGATGTACAACACAGCTTTCACAAATCAACATTTTGTAGGTATATGAAAGACCCATTTGGAGTTCAGGCCTACCAGTTCAATACCTTTTCCCTCAATAACCATAGCAAGCAAAGGTATTTAACTTCATGAATTATAAAATGACAGGAAACATTTCTGTATTGGTTGTGGATTCAATCCCACAACAGGTTCAAAAGTTCAGAAGCAGCTAATACCCAAATTTTTCATAGTAAAGGTTACTACATGAGCAGCATTTTTAAATAATATATACTTTAAATTATTGAAGGTGTGCATCAACAGGTAAGAACATGGTGTGTTTAAGTATTCTCTTGTTTTCTGAAATGCTCTGGCACTTTTCAAATATTCCTCAGAGTAACACGTAACAGAACTATGTGCACTTGAATATTAGCAGATAGCTGCATGGTATATTTGATTGTAAATAGATGTTTTCGATCTCATTTCCTTCAAGGATAATAATTACCAGGAAACACTATCGAATGCTCTTTCTGTGCCTGGCACTACAGAAACATTTTATAAATACTAAGTCATTTAACAGTCTTAGAAAGTGATTTCTATTATCAATTCCATTGTACAAATGAGAAAACTACAGATGAGAGAGCCCCCCAAACAATCTATTCTTAGTTTGATCTCCAAAGGTTTGCTTATTCGGTTGCCTTTGCCTGGCAGGTTTCCTGTCTTTCAATCCACTATTCTTTTCTTTCTTCAAGACTAATTTAAATCTCTTTAGTGCACTTTCCTGCAATCTTCCCTAGTGCCGTTTTACAGCACTAATCTGACTCCTTCTCTGTAATTATTTACTAATTTATCCATCTGTTCATCTATCCATCCTTTGTTAGATATTGTTATCATGAAGGTTGTGGGAGTTTCCTGGAGATCTGGCATCTGTTTATACACTGACTTGTGTTTTCGGCTTTGCGCAGCAGACTTGTCTCCCTAATTAGATCATAAACTGTTTGAGGGCAAGCACTGTATCTGAAGGTCCTTAGTAAATGAACCCGGAGCCTGTGTGTGTTAATAAATGACAAGAGACTAAGCTCTAAAAGATACGTTGGGTCAGGAAGTCCGAAAGAACCTAGAGTAGGAGAAAGGAGTGGTCAGAGGGCTTGGAGAACAACAAGGATTTTTGATGGTATTCAGTGTGTCTGAGTGGTCTATGAAACTGATGAACAAGAAAAGACAATTCTGTTTGGATAGGGTTAGTTGGGGTCCAAGGCTCTTATGCCTGATATGTAATGCTTCTCCGGCCTGAAAGAGATTGGTAGTGTCTGGAAAGTGGTATCACTAGTTGGGATGAAAGTTAGATCGCACAGGAGTTAAGAGATTGACAAGGAAACGAAGACAGTTAGCTTTGGCTCCCGTTCAAGTCATTGGCAGCAGAAAATAGAAAAGAAGTAAGATGCTAACCATAAAAGGTCAAAGGATGATATTTTTAATATATGAGAACCTGTATCACAAAGTGAAAGGGTTGGCGAATTTCCACGGTAGGCAAGAAACTGCCCCCCTCCTCCTCCTATGGGAAAAGAGAAAATAGTCCAGTTAATTCCTCTGACCTTTAGGCAAATGCCAGGTCACCCTCTGGGCCAGGCTATTTAAATCTGTCCTTCTTTACTCCTGGCCTGCCAGATAGAGCATTTCCTAGCCCTGCTGATGAACAAGGCTCCCTGACAGATATTGACCAAATACAGTTGCTTTTTTTCTTTCAACACCATTCAATTTGCTTAAATAAAAAGTCCAATGAAAAATGACTTCCTCGAATACATCTACCCTGCATCCATCCTCTCCGTTATTTTTGGATGTCCCTCTGGAGTAATTTGGTTATATACACGTAACTCCCCATTCACCAAGTCTAATATGCAAGTCTTACATTTTTAAAATTGCCTGGGCGGTCTATGGACAGTACAGAAACAGTGCAGGCTGTCCGTTTGTGACTTGAAATCTGATACTCTGAATCCAAAGGAATTACCCGCCATATCCATCTCTATTGCATTTCGTGTCTCCTTTTCCTCCCCGTCGTTCACCAGACAGTAATGTTCTCAGATCAAATATTCTCTATAAATTGAGAGAACATTTAGCTGATTTATGGGGCTTTTAGCTATTATATACTTACCTATTCAATAAAAGTAAGTACTTACATCACATGACACATATGCTACCTTCACAATATAAGATCTTTCCTTCAAGGGATTCAGGCATCAAATTGTAATGAGATTTCTTGTAGCTAATACATCACTTAAGGGCAAACTGACATTCTGAATCTATTTCTTTCTCTCTCTCTCTCTCTCTCTCTCTCTCTCTTTTTCCCTTCTCATCAATGGAATTCATGGCACAGCATTCTTTGTAAGATTCTTAAAATTAGTAAGATTTTAATTTTCTTCCAAAAAATGCACATCTGTTGGCTAAAGAAAGTAGGTACAGGAATACTGGTTTTGCACTTAGGAATGGAAAAGGTATACCGCCTTGGTCTTTTATTCAACATCACCCATTTCCAGAACCAGAAGCAGAGGAAATGCTGCGTCGGCATCCCTGCCATGGGAAAAACTTTAGGACAAATACATCTCATGCTGATCTTATTTTGGTGTATCAATCAATACATCAACAATGAACAAATAGTCACTTTACATGGTACTTTGTATGTATAACGAAATGTAGGACATAACCTCACAGAGTAAATTCCTTGAAAGCCACTCGAATACAGGCTTTCTCAATGTGGGCACCATTAACATTTTGGGCCAGATGATCCTCGGTTGTGGTGACTATCCTATGCATTGTATATAGTTTAGCAGAATCCCTGGCCTCTAACCCTACCCCCAGTTGTGACATTGTCAGTGGTCTCCTGCGGGGGGGGGGGGGGGCCGCAAAATCATCCTCAGTTGAGAACCAGTGCTCTAACTGGACCTGCCATCTATTAACTTTGGCTCCATTGTGGGAATGATTATAGCAAAATTCCAGCATGTTTGCATCTAAGGATAGAAATTTACTCAGAAATTTACAAAGCATTCTTATGGCTCTTGGAATGTGGGTGATACTGCTTTTGTTCCCCATTACTATGCTACCTGGCACTATGAAGGTTAGTGAATTAGTAAATTGATGATAAGCACTTTCAAGAGTGGGGTTTTAACAAACTTAATTCCTACATTGTAGTTTAGAAAGGTTCAAAAATTGAAGCAGATCTGAATCAGAACTGTGGAGTAAATAAAGCTCGGTGCCAGTACTCATCCTACCATATACTCTTTTCTTTTGGAGTGACCAAACTCTGGCTAGAGAGCTCTCTGTTTCAGACCTAAGCAGTATTCATTATACATCATGTCATGCAACTCAAACAATATTTTCTAAAACTGAACTTAGTATACTGCTATATGCTAAATGTTGACGTTCCCCCAAATTCATTGAGCACAGCATGAAGATGATTGTCCATGAACCAGGAACTGGGCTCTCACCAGACACCAAATATGCCAATACCTTGATATTGGTCTTCCCAGCCTCCAGAACTGTGAGAAATAAGTTTCACTTGTTTATATAAACTACCCAGTCCATGGTATTTTGTTGTAACATCCCAAATGCACTAAGACATACCCATTACAAAAATAATGGTGTTTCCCATTTTGCCAATTTCCATTTATAGAGCCATCATTCTCTAAAGGTCTTATCTGACCTGTCTACCCCCCTGCCCCCCATATCCCAGAGGTTGCCAAATCCTATTGATTCTTCCTTATCAGTGACACTCCAACTGAATATTACCTTTCTACTTCTCTGTTCCCAAGATCAGCATCTTTGTAGTCTCCTGGCTACATTATTACCACACTCGAGCTCCTAGCTTCAGTCTCTCCCTACCTCAGACTCTCCTGCATGCTGCTTTTTAACATATGACTTTTAATAGTGTCTACCTCCCTCTTTGGCAACCTATATCATGTGCCTCTTACTCATTGCAACAAATACACATTCTGAGTTGTCCCTATGTTTGCTTCATTTTCTTTTTATTTTTTAAACTTTATATTTGAAAGAGAGAGAGAGAGGTAGAAAGAGAGAATTCGAGCAGATTTGCACTGATAGTGCAAAGCGTTAGTGCAAAGCCTGACGTGGAGCTCAATCCCATGAACCATGAGATCATGAACTGAGCTGAAATCAAGAGTCAGATGGTTAACCAACTGAGCCACCCAGGTGTCCCACTTCATTTTTTCTTCTCAGTAGAGATCTGTCCATCTCATAGCTTTTTTTTTTTTTGTTTGTTTCCCCCTAGTCAGACTAGATCCCTGGAACAGCCTGCCTTCCACATGGGATGTCTGGAAATGAACTCTTTTCCAGAGTAAGTTTGACAATCCATGAATGATTTAATTGTTCTATGGAGTTAAGAACATAAGGCCCATGCTCTATAGCAGTTTGCTGGTAAGTAAACCCAGAAGGCACCTGAGATAGCACTAATCAGTGAAGTCAAGAATATAACTGAAGAAGAGGAAAAAAAAAAGAGCACAAAGAGATAGCTTAGAGCTTGACTGTAAGATACGTAGAAGAGAAACATGTTTTCCTAGAAGGGAACAATTAATGATAAAATGAGATCTCTACCTCTGTTATAAAGAATTAATTGATATTTTCTTGATTTGGGTTTAATAAT